TCCTAGCAACAAAGACAACATTGTCATTTGGTCTATAGAAGAGATAACCAAAAGACTTCTGTGGATAGCCGATGAAATAACACTTCTCACTACGAGGTTCTAGCTTGTCGTGAGTCTCTCGTCTTACGAAAGCTTCACAACCCCAAACCTTGATATGTGCTAACGAGGGAGCTTTCCCTGTCCACATCTCGTGAGGTGTTTTGGTAACCTTCTTGGTGGGAACTAAGTTAAGGATATGGGCGGCAGTCTCCAAGGCATACCCCCAGAATGAGATTGGTAACGAAGCACGACTCATCATAGAGCGAACCATGTCCAACAAGGTTCGATTACGTCTCTCAGCCACACCATTTCAATTGTGGCGTTCTAGGAGGCGTCAATTGTGAAACTATTCACACTCTTTCAGATAGTCGTGAAACTCAAGACTTAGGTACTCTCCCCCTCGATCAGATCGAAGCATCTTGATTTTCCTGCCCAACTGATTCTCTACTTCATTCTTGAACTCTTTGAACTTTTCAAAGGTTTCTGACTTCTGCTTGATTAAGTAGATATATCCATATCTGCTATAATCATCTGTAAAAGTCACGTAGAAGCGACAAGCGTCCCTTGTGGTGGATCTAAAGGGTCCACATACATCTGTGTGTATGAGATCCAATACACCCTCACCCCTTTCACATGTGCCAGTAAAGGGTGACTTGGTCATCTTCCCAAGTAAACAAGACTCACACACGTCATCGTCCCTAAGGTCGAAAGACTCCAAGACTCCATCCTTTTGGAGTTGGGCTATGCGTTTCTTGTTCACATGGCCAAGGCGACAATGCCACAAGCATGCTTTGTCCAAACTTGTGGACGAATCAATATTCAAAACATCATTTCCTAAATTGTCAATAACTAACACAGATTCATAAATCCCATTTACAAGGTAATGCATTGAAATAAAAGACACCATTCAAATAAGCATTAATAGAACCATTACTATTATCAAATGAATATCTGAAACCTTGTCTAAACAAACCATGAAAAGAAATGATGTTCCTGCCATATCTGGCGAATAGCAACAATTATTTAAATCTAGTCCTAACCCATTACTCAACACTAAGGAATAAACTCCGATCTTGGTTACTGGTGAAGACTTCTTGTTTCCCATGATCAAGCTTATCCTTCCATGCTCCACTTCCCTACTTCTTTTTAGGCCCTGCATATCAGAACAAATGTGGTAACCACACCCTGTATCAAGAACCCATGAAGTAGCAAATGATGAGTTATTAGATTTAATTAAATACATACCTGCAAAGGTGGGCTTTATCTTCCCATCCTTAATATCTTGCAGATATTTAGGGCAGCTTCGTTTCCAGTGGCCCTTCTGGTGGCAATAGAAGCACTCTGCTTCCTTGGGGTCAGAAGAGGGCTTAATAGAACCTGCTTTGGTCCCACTAGAAGAGGAACCATCTTGGGTCTTACCCTTATGGTGGCTCTTGTAAGGAGCCTTCCTCTTCTTTCCCTTTCCTTGGCCAATTGCCAACACAGGAGCAGCTACAGTAGAGGATGATGCAACAGATTTGTCCTTGAGGTTGCTCTCAGCTGTCCTCAGGAGCCCTTGAAGCTTACTTAGGGTGACCTCTTCCTTATTCATGTGGTAGGTCATTCTGAACTGGCTGTAGCAGGAAGGCAAGGAGTGGAGGATGATGTCGATAGCCAAATCCTCATCAAACTTAACATTAAGTTTGAGAAGACGATCAACATATCTTTGCATTCTTTGCAAATGAGCAGTTAGGGATTCTCCACTCCCCATCTTAGCGGTGATCATGTTGGTGATGATCTCATAGCGCTCTTGCCTCGCGCTCTGGTGGTACCTGTCCAGCAAATCTTGATGCATCTCATATGGATACATGTCCTCATAGGACTTTTGGAGTTCGAGGTTCATGGTGGCCAACATGATGCAATGAACTTTCGTTGCATCACGCTCGTGGGCCTCAAAGGCGGCCATCTCTTCAGGAGTAGCTTCTTCTGGGTTGATCCTTTCAAGCTTCTCGTCTAGGACATATTCTTTGTCCTCATAACGAGTTATCATGCGAATGTATCTCATCCACTCGTTGAAGTTCGAGCCATCAAATGTCACTTTTTGACACAGGTTCATCAACGAGAATGACCCAGAAGTGTTGTTGTTTGCGTTTGCGTTTGACATCTGAAATAGAAAGGAACAAAGTTTGATTAGAATGAATCCCTAATTAAACACCCACATGAGAAATTAGGGCTAGGATCCAACAACATTATTTACAACTTAGAAAAGGGATGCCGTAATCTAAAAGTAAATAATTTGAAGGTAAGTGAATGACGATTCACTAATTTTCACCATGAAAAACGAAAGAGGTTAAGTTTTAAATGTATTTGAAAATTCCTAGATTTCTTTTGAGATTCATTGAACATTTCAATGGCATGTTTAAATCTCGATATGCACTTCAAATTTGCGACTGGGATGCCGAGGATCGCAAACAAGTTTGTGAATAACCATGCGAATCATCATGGTGCACTCAATGTCTTCATCACCTAATCAATGTGCTGGTTAGCCACGCACGCTCCATTGATCTATGATAAGACATCGAGCCACCCTTTGTCACCAATGTCAATCCCAAATTAGTGTGCTGGTTAACCACGCACGCTCCACTAACGTTTGACAGGGGTACAAAGTGTAATTCCATGGAATAGCATCATTTTCACATTTTACCCTAAAGTAACTAAGAGTGGGAATTTGTAAAACAATGTAGTTACTTTAATATTTCCATTATACTTATAATGAGGAATTAAGTGCCCTATCCTATCCGTTCGGCTAACGACCCTCCACCAGTCAAGCAAGCGGTAGATGTGAGTGTACATCCATTAAGCGCCATTTTATAGGCAGCAACCTTATACCCACCTTATAGACTGGCTTCGTGAATGAGGCCTACTAGCGATAAGACTAGCTTATTCTTATACATATATATAATAATTAATCTTATAATATCATAATTGTATAAGGGTGTATTTTAAAACATTTTAAAATACTAGTGTCTTGTTGCATTTAAAATTTTCGAAAATTAGACAATTTAATTTAAAATTTTAAACACCAAAAATCTTTGATTTAATAATTATCAAAATTAAACAATTAATTTAAATTATTAAATCATGAAGGATTATCATAAAATTAAACAATTAATTTATCCTAATCCTTTTTATCCCCTAGATTTCGAAATTTATGGAAAGGATAATTCAAGATCTTCAATTATCTAGTTTAAACAATTAAGTTGATAATCACAAAGATGGCATTATCCAAATCCCTAAAATTTTGGGATCTTGTCTTGGGGGGCAAGGGATTTTCGAAATCCCTAGGGTTTCATAACCCTAATTTCGAAATTTGGAGGCTAGGCAAAAAAATTTAAGAACCCTACAAAAAATCGCCAACTAGGGTTTCTTAACCCTATTTTCGAAAACCACCAAGCCTTAGGGTTTACTTGCCATAAACCCTAATTTGTCAAATTCATAATATGTATCAAATCAAATTGAAAACAAAAACCAAAGGCTCTGATACCACTGATAGGTTTTATACAAACAATCCTATGTGTGCATGCAACCCTAATTGGATCTATGTTTTCACTATAAGACATACAACTATATGAACACAAAATAAACCCTAGCATGCTTCTATAATTTTCGAAAATCATATAGAAGTGTAGAAGACATACCTTTGTTGTTATATTGCAATAACAACTAGTTTCCTTGATCTCTTGAACTCTTGAAAGCAAGCACCACAATTGTAGTGCCTCTAATGGCTCACAAACACCTTGAAGCAAGAAGGCAATTAAGAGAGAGAGGGAAGGATGCTAATTTCGGCCCTAGGGTTTCCCTTGGAATCAAGTGGCCTAAAATTGAAGCATAGGGCATCTATTTATACTATAGGGTGCTAGAGTTTCAGTCTAAACCCTAATGGATAGCTTAGCCACCAAGCAGCCCAAGGAACCTTCTGGAATGAGGCCCTTGGACGAAAATATGATGATCCCTCATCATAATTTCGTTCCCCCTTAGTCCATAAGGTTTCCCCCCACCCAACTCAACTATCACACATTTGACAGTTTATACCCCTTTATTTAATTAATCTCTTTTAGTCACCAATTAATTCCTAATTAATTTATGACTAATACTAATTAAATAATATGATTTCTCCTTTAATATATTATTCTTATATATATTAATAAACCATAATATCTTCTCTCTCATATCAAATTACCTTGTCAAGTTGCTTTGGTGAAGGCAACCCAAAAGGACCATGCACACTCGGGTCAAGTACATACCAAATATAGTTACGGACTTAGACACTAATCCAACAGTCACGACCATTGACCACAATTATAC